AACCAATTTTACTAACGCTACGAATAGCAATCATTCACCAAGGGTCTCAACGCGCGCCGTAGAAGACACGGCGGGCAACAGACGCTCGGCACGGCGAAAAAACCATGGACCTAAGAACTCAAATTCGGCTGAATTCTAAAATGCGCTAAAAGCCACTTGCTAGAATTCTATAAAGTGTATAAAAACGTTTTCTTTATACCACAGACTCAGAGTTGCTGAGATCTCGTGGGGAGAGAGAGGAAAAGAGAGTTCCAGGGTCTGGGGACTACGTGGGAAACGGCTCAGTTGCCCATCGATACATTGACAATGGTGCACAAAGGCAGCAACAACAACAAGCTCAACACATTCGTCAATAGCAACAACAACACCATGTGTGGCCTTACAAGTTTAAATTAAAAAGGTATATAATCGGCGATTGCCGGAAATGTCATCAATTAAAAAGGTTTCCTTTTAAGGGCATGCATGGTGGTGTCGATGAATGTGTGTAGCTCGATTTCGGGAGGTGACCCAACTGAATCCAGTTACCCGAGGAAGTTCCCCAGCGAAACGTCGGACGTCCCGTCAAAACGGCTCGCGGCGCAAAAACTAATTATTATTTTTTTACAGGCATGCAGTGCAGGAAACCGGTTCGCCCGGAGAAAACGCAGGAGCCTTCGAGAAGATAATGCTGACCAAGGAATCTCCTTGCTGCACCGAGTAAAGAGGTCTGATTCTTTCAATGAGCCATTTCAATGCTAAATTATATGCTACTTCCTTTGTCAAGGCGCTTTGTTTTCTTCTCACACAGCTTAAAGGTCGTGATCTAAGCGTGGCTTCTCTCACTCCAGCGCTGTCCTCCAGACAGTCTCGTCCCTTCACCTGATGAAGGCCGCTTGTGTTGTGGCCGAAACGTCGTGATTTTTTGTTATTTTATTTTCACCTACGTGACTTTACCCAATAGAACCAAAGAGTAAGGTCTGATTCTGCTGATGAGCCTACGAAGTTTGAGGCCGGTTCAGAGTTTGCCAGATTTAACAGAGTCCTGCTCGACAACATTGATCGGGGGAAGAGCGATCGGCCGACGGGTGAAACGTTATATTTTACGCGTCGAGACAGACTTCTCTGTCTAGCGCCGCCGCTGTAAAGTGTTTTCGGGCGAGTCCTACGTCCCTCTCAGTTCCTGAAGAAGCTCCCACAACACGCGGAGTGAAAACGTCGGACGTCTTGGTTGAACGACGTGGTAACAGCCCCGGTAGCAACAAAAATAAAATGGGGGAAAAAAAAAAATCGCAAATTGGACGGCAGGTGAGCGAACCTGCGGGATCGCGATCATTTGTGTAAAAAATAAAAATAATCCACGCCTGTAGCGCTCGCCCGCCTTTGACGACGGCGCCCGCCGGGTGATCGGGAGGATGATGCGGTATCGACTCGGGCTTGGTGCGCCGCGGATCCAGTAAATGAAAAGCGTAATTTACTAAAACTCATCGACCCCCTTCGTTCCGGCGATAAAAAGCCGAAGGCGTGCCCCGGCTCGAGAAATATAAATCCCGCGCCGGCTCTCCGGCATAATTCTATTCCGCGCGATCGATCGGACCCGCAGCACTAATCAGTCATCCATAAATATTCGCCGATAAGAGAGCGGCAAGGGAGGGAGGGGGGTGTTGGAGGGGGGGGAGGTGCGACCGTGAGCGTCGGGTGCGTACGCGGAGACGGAACGCCGAGACGGAACGCCGAGACGGAACGCCGAGACGGAACGCCGAGATGGAACGCCGAGACGGAACGCCGAGACGGAACGCCCTCTGGAGCGCGACCGACGGTTCCGGCGGAGGGGCGCCGCCGCATGTTATTGCTTGCGTCGCAATGAGCGACGTCTCAAATTGCCCGCCGCCCTGCACGCCCCTGCAGTTAACGCCAGGAAGAAGGCGGAGGACGGAAGAGGCCGGGGTCAGAGCCAGCCGAGCAGTAAAAACCCGGGTTTGCAGTCCGGATTTCGGCCGCCTGCAGTTAAACCGTGTTTTCACTGATACCAGATTCTCCGGCTTCTCGGGCGCAATTTTTAACCCTGTAGTTCAAAGTAAAAGTTGCGAGTGTGACTTGTAACCCGGTAGATGTGTGTCTGACCAGTGGCGGTGTAGTGGCGAGCGTACAAACCCGGAGACACGAGTTTGATTCCCGCTCGGGACCAATAACAGTGGCGATTATCTGAACCGGTCTAGGGCCTTCCCGAGGTAAGCTCCCGAAATGAGTACCTAATGCGTTGTATAAGACCATCAGAACTGGAGAGACAAAGGCGACCGGACGTGGTGTTGGCCACCCAACCAATCGTGTGCCGTGCCAACCTCCATAGAGGTTCTCGCTAGCAGCACTTGCCCCAACAGTTTGTTAATTCCAATCGCACTCTCGGCAAAACTATCTTCATATCACTCTCGTGACCGTTACCTCGTCGCACCCCCCCCCCTCCCCGCTCCCCCACCCCCTCCTCGTTTATTTTTCCCTTTTGCCCCCTACGTTTGTACGACGTCTCGAGACGCTGCAGTCGACATTGAGGCGCTTTACGAGTTATAAACGGCGATAATAATAATTATCGCCATGTTATTTATTACCCCCATTACCGTCTCTCGCTCGGCGATCACAGAAATCTCGCGAGCCAAGCGAGCAGGCAGCAGGTTTCTCCCGGAACACGTCGATTGGACCTCCCCCCCCGCCCCTCCCGGATCACCACGACCCACTAACTCCCCCCCCCGCCCCATCCCGTCGTGCTTTAGCTCTCGGGAAGAAGCGGCCACTCGCCGACCTCGCAAATCTCTTGCCCGCGAACGTGCCTCTCCTTGAATCCTCGCCGTCAGTGGCCGCCCCTGGCTCCCCCCCCCCCCGGCCCCCCGAGGACGACAAGCCGAGCCCGGCGAGTGAGACGCGGTGTTCCTGGTTTACCGTCCGGCAGGTGGCCGCTCGTGGGAATCGTTTCAGGGCTCGGGGGGAAGGGGGGGGCGCGGGTGACGATAATTTCCGCCCCACCCTGTTCGTGTCGGCTCAGGGGAAGGCCTGTTCGGTACAGGCCCCCCCAAGGAAGCACACGGTGGCAGTAGCCAAGGCTCTTCTGCCAGCGGTGGCGTGAGCAAGGCAATCGCGGGGTCTGCGCCTTTATCTGTGACGGTGCAGTCCAGTGCGCAGAAGCACTCGCCGCCCCGCCGACGGGCAGCACCAGCGCGTGCAATTGCAGGCCCGCGCCTCTTCATGCGTTTGCACTGCGTGCTCATTGCATTTGCCTTGTGCATTGTACGTACGCATGTTGGACTTCTTTTGCACTGCACGTAGCCAACCGTGCTAATCGGACGTGCGGGGGAAGGACGAGGAACTAAGCACAAAACGCAGTTCCAAAGGAATGAGTTTCAATCTAGATTATTTTAAAGTGGTATAGCTCCAGTGGCTTCCGAATGGTGGAGGGAAGAGCGTTCCAGATGGCCGCAGAAGTGATTCAGTGAGCATCTTTGTACGATGGCTGGCCAAAATTCACTTCTGCGAGGATGAGTTCACATGATGATGGTTTATGCTACTTGATGAGAACTGTTGCCAAAGAGCGTCAATAATGATGAGTGCCAATAAAGATGGAACAACCTGTTATCTGCACACTCGTCACTTTGTGTATCTTCAATAAGCTGTGGGGTAAAAACCGTGAGACGGTGCTGATGAGCGGTAATGATGAAAAAACCTCTCCCATCATCGCCATCATCTGTCAACTCATTAGCGAGGATGGAGGCCGAATGAATTCCCCATCATGGTGCTCATTCTTTAGCCGGTATCGCCACATCGTTCACTCCCAATCCGTTTCTCATTTATCTCCCTTACCACACTGCCTCTATACTCCGCACACTCGGGGCCTGCATTCCCACTCGCCCTGCTACAGAGAAAAGTCTTCATCGCACGGCGGTTGGAGGGACGTTTTAACTCTCAGGGCGGAAATTTAGCCAAACTTCACGCGACGGTTATATTTTTTGCACGGTCATCAGTGCCCGGCCGGAGACGATCAGCTCACGGCACCTGGGGGGGGGGGGACCCGGATGAACCACAGGCAGTAGCTGAGAACCCAGAATCGAACCCAGGTTCTCAGTCGTGCTGGCTCAGCCTCTCACCTCTGAGCCATCCGGCCATCGTTGGTGCATTGTAGCGTCCTAGTGGTTGCAGGCATCGCATGGATCATGCTGGGACCCTCGGCTGAGACCCTGGTTTGGATCTCGCCACCGTGGCGCCCACAGTGGCGAGATGTTAACTGCCTCACCTGGTATACAGGAGGTCGTGGGTTAGATCCCGACCCTGACACCTGCTGTGTATTTGGAGTTTGCGTGTCTCTCTCCGAGTCCTCGGGTTTTTCCCTCCGCATTCTAGAATCGACGTCACACGTTGAAGAGTATTTGGCAGCTTTAAATTTCCACGTGACGAGTCACTTCATCGAGCTATTAATTGTGATAGCCAGGTCGCTTATGATAAAGAGCTGTGTAGCTCAGTGAACCTTACCTGGTAAGATAAAAAAAATAGTTTAAATCGTTTATAGAATCGCTGTGGCCGGGCGGGTGGCTCAGACCCGGGTTGAAACCCAGGGTGGTGCCCGCTCGGCCTCTCGGAACTCGAAGGCACCCAGACGCCTCAACGAATTAACAATGAAGAAAAATCAAGCGCACACACACACACGCGTGAATTACATGGACGCTGGCAACAATTAACGGTAGCACTCGTGCCGGGGCGGGCGAACGGGCAGGAGTCGCGTCCTTGGGCCGCGATGAAACGATGGAGCTGTGTCAGGGGCGGGGGGGGGTCCATGTGGCTGGTCTTCTCTCAGATAGCAACGCAACTTGTCCGTACTGGATCATCGCTACGAGAGTTAACGTACGTCCCGCTCCACTCACCCCCCCCCGCCCCCACCACAACAAGTAGATGGACGGGCGGACGGACAGAGCAAAAGCAACCCTGGTGACTTGGAACGCGTTTGAAAATCTAGTGGCGCAATGGAGCATGGAGCAGCCTACCTGTCTCGCTCCTCCGGCACCTGGTCCACGGGTCCTCTCTGAGAACAAAACCAACAAGGGAAGGGGAGACGAGAAGTGAGAGTCTCATCAATAATGGAGTCCAACGACGCACGCCGACGGCACTCCAACTCTCACCGTGGGCACACACTCGCCCTGCGCCTTTCGCCCACGTCGTATCTCGCCCGCGCAAACGTTGTCGATTTTATTTATTTTCTTTTTTCATTTTGAAATTACCCCAAAGCCGGGTGGGGAAGGGGGTGGGGGGGGGTGGCGGGGGAAGTGAGAAGGTTGCCGTCCATTAACTCGGAGAAAATACACGGTCTCGCGTTTAGGGCGGGCGGATACGCGCCGCTGGACGCGCCTCGGCCCCGTAACGCGGTCCCGGGAACAGCAGCAGCGCCCCGGCCGTGCCGCCAGGGATAGACGGCGGCGAGAGTCGCATCCAGCCGGGACGGATGTACAGACGAACGGACAACGAACAGATGATGGACAGACGGACGGACAACGGACGGTTGAAGGACGGGCGTATGGACAACGGACGGACATACGTGATGACGGACGGACATACGGACGATGGATGATGTATGACCGACGGACGATGGGACAGAAGCATGCTGCATTGCAGCGCCACCGCCACGGGGAGAGGGCAGGGCATTTAATAAATGACGGCGTGCACTTGAGCAATTGCTTTATTTTCGACCGTGTCTTTAATTTAGTTTCAAGTTCTATGTCTGTGTGTGTGTGCACGCACATTTGCGTGTAGCTGCTTTTACGCCGAAAAGCCATTAACGAGCTTCAGTCGCCATTATAATAATGAATTAATATCTACTTATTCGTTTTCCATAAGTAAAATAATTAATCGATCATGGAAATGTCATATTGCCTATTGCAATTACTTTCAATAAAATTTCAATTTAAAGCTTTCGTGACTGCAGTGATTCATCTTCTTTGGTTCTTTCGGTAAAGTCACGTAGAATGAGAATAAAATAATAAATTGATAAAATAAAATAACACAATAATATTCTCACGAAGTTTCGGCCACAACACAAGCGGCCTTCATCAGGTGAAGGGACGAGACTGTCTGGTAGGACAGCGCTGGAGTGAAAGAGCCACGTTCAGATCACGACCTTTAAGCTTAAAGCTTAAAGCCGCTTGTGTTGTGGCCGAAACGTCGTGAGAATATTATTGTGTTATTTTATTTTATCAATTTATTATTTTATTCTCATTCTACGTGACTTTACCGAAAGAACCAAAGAAGATACTTTCAATTACTTTCAGACTTGCCTGTTGCATGCGAGCTCATAACAACTGTTCCCTGTTGCAAGCGAGCTCGCAGCAAGCCTGCCTTGTTGCAAGCGAGTCACAACAAGCCTGCCCTGGTGCAAGCGAGCTCACAAAAAGCGTGGCCTGTTGCAAGCGAGCTCGCAGCAAGCCTGGCCTGTTGCAAGCGAGCTCGCGACAAGCCTGCCCTGTTGCAAGCGAGCTCGCGACAAGCCTGGCCTGTTGCAAGCGAGCTCACAACAAGCCTGGCCTATTGCAAGCGAGCTCACAACAAGCCTGGCCTATTTCAAGCGAGCTCACGACAAGCCTGGCCTGTTGCAAGCGAGCTCACAACAAGCCTGGCCTATTTCAAGCGAGCTCATGACAAGCCTGGCCTGTTGCAAGCAAACTCACGACAAGCCTGGCCTATTGCAAGCGAGCTCGCAGCAAGCCTGGCCTGTTGCAAGCGAGCTCACGACAATCCTGGCCTGTTGCAAGCGAGCTCACAGCAAGCCAGGCCTGTTGCAAGCGAGCTCACAAGCCTGGCCTGTTGCAAGCGAGCTCGCGACAAGCCTGGCCTGTTGCAAGCAAGCTCACAAGCCTGGCCTGTTGCAAGCGAGCTTGCGACAAGCCTGGCCTGTTGCAAGCGAGCTCGCGACAAGCCTGCCTTATTGCAAGCGAGCTCGCAACAAGCCTGCCCTGTTGCATGCGAGCTCACAACAAAGCCAGCCTGTTGCAAGCGAGACAGGGACAAACGTGCACTGGGCACAAACGGGAGGCCGTGACCGTGTTTGGCGCGTGCCGTCGGCGCGGGGCGCGGGGATTAACCCGGCACACTGCGACCCATGCGCAGGGGTCGCGTGCGGTGCAATTATGGCTCTGTGTTTTTGCCGCGCTCCGAGCCAAGTCGACAGCAGCCTCCGCCGATTTCAAGTCGAGCCTCGGGGGTGTCCCCTTAAGTCTGGCTCGCCCAAACGCAGTCGGACGATCGGTCAAACGCTCCGCGCTGCTAAACGTCGACGCAAGTGGCGGCGCAGCTGCCGCCCAACCGATGTTATAAATTTTATTTTTGTGCCGGGCGCTGCCGCCGCTGAGTTGGCAGCAGTGCACAAGCACAGTTAACGAGACCAACACACACTGTGCCGGCTTAACAGGAACAATAAAATATAAGGCACGCGCGGTCTTCCTCGGCACACACTGCAGTCTCGGACGACGTCACTGAACGATATCGCTCCGCGCCCACCTCGTTCGGACCGTGAGCATGCACCTCGTCACGGGCGGTCTCACTTCGCCCTTGCCAACTCCAATTAAAAAGTCTTTATTGACGATTTTTACCGTCGCCCATCGTGTTGACAGGCCCGCTGGCTCAGCGGTAGAGCGGGCGGCTCGCAATCGGAAGGTCGCAAGTTCAAATCCTGTTTGTGGGGGTTGACTCGGCCCATAATCCCTCTGGGGTCGATAAAACAAACTAATTTGTAGGGAAGTCAACAATGCTGTAATATGGAGATACTTCCTCCCCCCCCCCCCCCTGCGATAGGAATGTGGAATTTCCACAGATGGCTCAGGGCTGTAAACACGATGCTCACATGTAGAGCGGGAAATACATTTTTTACTTAAAAAATGTTTTTTGTGAAATTAACACCGGTGGCATCTGGCACGCAGCGGGCCGCCCGCCCAGCGTAGGTGAGGCACACGACCTCCGTCCGGGTCGCAGAGGCGCGCACGCTTATTAAGGAACAGACTGTTCGTTTTGCTGGGCAAAGGCTAATCAGATTCAATAGTGTTTTAAAGCGTGGAGGGCCGAGTCCTGTGCACTTAACTGCATTGGAAACGCGGCACAATAGGTCAAGAAAATTGGCTCCTGCGACAACAAAACTCTTCCCCTAAGCGCCGACACGCGCAGTTAATTAAAACACGGGCGAGAGCGAGAGAGGACGGACGGACGCATGGATACGGGCGACGAATGAACAGACGGATGTACGGACGGACGGATGGACGAACCAACAGACAGATCGAAGTACAGATAGATGAACAGATGGATGGACGGACAAACGGTCGGACGGACACACTGACAAGTGGACGGATGGACAGATTGTCGGACAAATAAGATGAATGGACAGATGGATGAAGGACTAGCAGAAGGAAGGACTAGCAGATGGAAAAACAGACGGATGGACAGTTTGACAAATAGATGGACAGAGGGTAAAATGTATGTATGGACAGTCGGACAATTGCACAGATGGACTTATGGATGGACGAATAAACGGACACACAGACGGACGGACGACGACACGTTTGTAGGCGTGAACCACGGTTGAGATGCGTCGTTCAATTGAGGAGATGAGGTGACAGGTTGAGGTGGTAGTATGAAGTCGAGGCCGGCCAACAGAATCCGGGGCTGGGAGAGTTTACGGTATCACGCACGCACACGCAGATCTGCTCCGAGTTTTGCGGTGTTCTCTTGGTCGCCGTCCGCATCAGAGTTCTGCACGTGTTGTTTTTTTTATTGTAAATCAAGGACCCAGGACACAAAGTAGATTCCAAAGAGGAGGAGGAGGAGGAGTGGGGGAAAAACAGCAAATTGCGTGTTACAAATCCTGAGCCTGCACGTCGCTTATAACCATCTCACCAAAGTGTGGAATTATCTCTCCACAAAAAAACACGATGCCCTTAACGGCGCGTGAGATAAGAGCCTCCCGCCAGACCGTGGAGTCGCGTGACCCCAGCGAGCGCCGCGGTGTCGGGAATTGCTTTGGGCACTCAGTCTTGCCGTTGATGCCGATTTTTTGTTTTTGTTTTACAATGCTGATTGTTGGTATTTGCACCCCCACAAGACAACTCACCGAGAGAATCACTCATCATCCCCGCTCGCCCAACGCAAGCGACGTTCTCACCACGTCCTCAAACTCCTCCACCTCGTCCATCTCCTCTACCTCCCCCACCGCCTCTACCACCTCCTCCTCCTCTTCCTCCTCCTCCTCCACCGCCCCTCCGTTCCGCAACACAACTTTCGCGAGCCAGCGCGCGAGCCCGGAAACTTACCGCGGATAACGACCGAAATATTTAGATTGTGAAATAATATTATTTATATAAATGCACATATATCGTACACGTAAAATAACAAATATGGATTAAATGAATTTGCTGAGCGAAGCTTCGAACGCGCCTTTGGCCGCTACATTATTTTGACAGGCAAGGCGCCGCTGTGCCGCCAGGCTCGCGTTTCCACTCCAAAATAAAACTTTAATTTGACGGCTGACGCTGCATTAAGTTGATGGGACGTGACGCGCCGTGGCGATGAGAGCAGCGTTCGTTAGCGGTGGTCGTTCCGGCCACGTGGACGGGGGGTGTGGGGGGCTGCGGGTGACGGGGAGGGGCGGCAAACACAAAAGGGTGTTGTTGGCGTTGCGAGAGAGGGGGTTATAAGAGAGTATCCGAATTTAGCTGAACAAAAATAAATTTTAATGTATACTTTTTCAGAACTTGAAAAATTCCCCCCCCCATCCGTGGGAGTCGACGTAACGACACCGATTGAAAAAATCCATTTAGATTCGAGACTTCACAAAAGGGGTCAGAGCGTTTTGGTATTCCCGCCGACCTTGCAATGCAAAGTGAGAGGGACGCGCTACGTCTCGCAGGCTGTACAGGCATCGCAGTCGGCAGCGGTGTTGCCACGTGGGGTGCTTTTTGTTTTTCTCTTCCCCCCTGTCGGGTGCTTTGCGAGCGATTCGTCAAACTCGGCAAACGCGAACCGGTGACGCCGGCACGCGCCGCCCCCCGGCGCTTTCTTGCGAATAACGAACCAGGACCTCGAGCGTCCGCTCCGGAGCGGGGAGGCGCGGGCAAGTCGGTGAGTATCTACACTTATTTTGTTATGGTCAATACCACCCGCAGTAGTAACTCGAGGTGGGGGGGGGGGGGGGGGGGGGGGGTGGTGGTGTTTCGAGCGGCGATCGCGCTCCGTTGCCACCCGCCAGGGCGGCGATCTGTCGCTGTCGGCCCAGCGACGCGCACGCCCAGCTCGAGCTGGCGGCGGGCTTGGACAATCGGACGGGCGACGCAATCTTGGCAGCCCAAAGTCAGACTCAATCAGGGATATTTACTTATTCATGCTGGAGGAATCCGATGAGCTATGAAGCTCTTTTTCGGGGCCGGGGAGAACGTTACAACAACGAACAAAAACGCGACAGTCGTGCAAAGTATAGGAAAGGTATTCTTAGCGCTTTCGGTAAAGTCACGTTGAAGGGAAACAATAAAATAATAAAATATATAAAACAATAACAATTCTCATGACGTTTCGACCATAACACAAACGGTCGTCATCAGGTGTGAAAAAACCAACGGCAAGAAACATTTCAAAGAAGTGGCGGTTTGCGTTTATTTATTTATTTATAAACGGTGTTTTTTTTTATTTCTAAAAAACGTCAGCGCCACGCGCAGCGATTTGGCAGTTTATTTAGAAGGACGAGTCCATCTATGTTCTGAGAAGAGGAGGGGGGGAGACGAAAATTAATGTATGCTATCTGAAAGCCACTGTAAGCGTGAACAATCAATTAAGACTTGAAATGGTTTATCAAATCCTTCCAATGATTGCTAAGCCAGAATCCATCTTCTCGGTTGAAATTGTCTCTGTGATTGTATATGTGGATAGCCTCATGAACGAATCTCGCATGGTAGCCAGATGGCTTACAAAGAACCTCTGTCTTGGAAAAGTCAATGTCATGTGAGCCTACTGAATTATAACAATGATCTGCCATGGCCGAGGTGTTGGTCCTACCGTGTTTACGGTCTGCTTTGTGTTCACGAATGCGGTCCGAGACATGGCGTTTGGTAATTCATAAGAATATTCATAAGAATATGAATTATTGCAGTCACGAAAGCTTTAAATCAAAATATAGGAAAGGTAATCAAATAACCCAACATAGATACAAATACAAGACCAAACCATCCCCAGCCTACCAGACAAAGCCCGCTGAGGCATCAACTTATTTTTCCTGAAGTGTTCCTGTCCACAAATGATAGCTCAACAAAAAGTGTCCTCTCATTTGGACATTTCTAGCGCCACAATAATCGAAGCAACCTTCAAGCGTCGCGCTTGGTCCTGGCCGATTGATTCAACCGGCAACGGTAAATCAGCCGTTTCCCCGTCGTGCTCGCCGATCAGCTTCGGCAAACGGCGCCGCGCTCTCGTCTTATTTTCCTTCGTCCTCACCCCACCTCACCCCGCTGCCTTCCCCCGCCCCCCCCCCCCGCTCCCCACAACAGCCATCGATGAGACGACGCGGGGGCCTTCAGTCGTTAGCCGGAAACCGCGGCGATCCATCACACGGTGGACCAATTAATTTAATTGCCGCTCGCACGATGACAGATGTGGAAGCGAGAGTCGTGCGTGCCGTCCCCCCGCCGCCAACCCCACCCGGTTGGCTAGTGGATGAAAACAAACGGCTCTTCTCTTGTGGCTGTGAACCTGTGGGGGGGGGGGGGGGCGGGGGCTGCTACGGCGGCGGACATGGCGGTGCCGTGGCCGGCTCACCGCGTCGTCCCGACGTTTCGCTTCCACACCCACTGCGGGAGCTTCTGCTGGGAAACCGAATCACGCACGACGTTTCCGCGTCGCCAGCGCGGCACGCAGTCCCCCCCGGAAACTCCCGGAGGCATGACCCTCCCCCCCCGCCCGCCAGAAACCGCCCGCGGTGGGAGCCACGCAGCCACAAACACGAAAGAAAACCTCCCGCCCGTCCATATGTCCATCATGCCGGGCGATCCGTTTACATTAACCCAAACTGCTTTTGTTATTTTACCAGTTAAGTCCCACACCCGGTTGAGGCATGGCGGCGTTCGCCACGGATTGAAAAGTAACACGGTGCCAGCTCGCGACCTTCCAGAAGCCCGGGATTCACCGCCGAGCAGCCGGATCCCGGATTCGGAACCGAGATTTCTTGGCTCACAGGGCACGACTGCCTATTTCGGCCGCGGGGCAGGAATTTGCGCGGATCAATCGCCGCTTTGAGATCGGAAACGCAGCCGGCACCGCCGCTCACGTGGAACCGCGGGCGTGGCGCCTCTAGTGGCCGCAGGGGTCACGGAACTAGGCCGAGACCACGAGTCCCCGACACACGGGCTCAGTAACCCACGGGGGGGGGGGGGGGGGGGGGGGGGGGGCGCTCCCTCGATTCGCTCGTCCATCATCGCGAGCGACGCGGCCGCTACTCACGTGAAACAGCGGCATGGTGCTGGCTTCCACGCCGCTGCGAGCCGTGGGACGTCCGGGCGAGAACAGGGGCCCCGGGCTGGCCTCCCGGTCCGAGCGGGCCCCACCACCGCCGCCGCCGCCTCGCCTCCTCCTGTGGGCCTCCTCCCTCTCCCGGTGGCGCCGGTCTCCATCCCCGTCGGCCGAACCATTGGCGCCCGAGAGGGTCTGGCGCGGGCGTTCGCAGCTGGTGGCTCGCACGCGCGCCCCGCCGCCGGCTCCGCCGCCGCCGCCGCCGGCGCCGCCGCTACGTCCCGTGGCCCACGACGGCCCCCACGAGGCCTGGCCGCAGTGGGCCAGCTCCTCCTCGTTGATGGGGCTGATGCGCTCGTCGCTCAGGTGCTTGAGGAGCGAGGAGTCTGCGCGTGGGGAAGGGCAGAGAGAACAACGGTGGCGTTGAGATCCACGCGGACGTCCCCCCCCCCCCCTTTACCTTTCCCCCCCCCCCGTGTAAACTATCGATTCTCCGCTGGTGGCCCCTCGCACCTGGGTGGGGGCAGTGAGCCCAATGCTCCCCCCCCGCCTACCCTTACGCGACGATCTCGGGAATTTGTTTGCGGAATATATGCCTGCGATCGGTGCTCTGTACCGAGCTCACGTTGAGTTGAAATGAAAACAAAAATAAAATAAAAGCAAATAAAGTATCATATTCTTGATTCTTTCGGTACGTAGAAGGGAAACAATAAAATACTAATATAAAACAATAAAATTCTCACTTTTTATTATTATTTTATTGTTTCCAGTCTACGTGACTTTACCGAAGGAACCAAGAAAATGAATCCCTGCAGTCACGAAAGCTTTAAATAAATTTTTTAATAAAGATTCAAGACAATTTCATTCGCAGCAGCACTCTGGATGATCAACGCACTACTGGTTGGTGTCCCCCACCACGCCACAGAGTTGTTTGACCATACTTCACCACGATTGTCAGGGCGGGCTGGTGTAGTAGAGGATATCGCTCGCCACCGATGTCCGACGTGACCGGGAGCCTAACTCAGGTCGACGGTTTTTATAACACTAACGACGGAGCCGCAGTTCCACTCTATAAAAAACTTAATATAGAAATAACGGTTTCGTAATAATTTGCATTCAAAGGTCACTTACATTCTCCAGAACCTCAAAGCACCTTACACACAGATACACGCACACACATACAAAGACAATGATCCCCCTTATAGCCTTTAATTTTTGGGCAAGTGCTGTCTGCGTGGGTAGCTAGCACCACGCCTGACCGCCTTTGTCTCCCCAGTAGCGTTGTTTGCACACTGCGCCAAGTACTCATTTGGGTCGACCTGGGGGAGGCCCAGGACCGATTCAGATACTATAATCGACGTTGGCCGTGAGCAGAGAATCGAAATCGTGTCGCCGGGTTCGTAGTGCTAACCACTGCGCCACCACTCCCCACACGCACACACAGAGGCAGAACGCTGCCACAGCGGTGTGACTGGCAGCACGCTGGGCTTGCGCTGCATAGGTGACCGGTTCCATTCCATCCCCCTCGCAGCCACTGAAACCGTGGTACCAGTTTCTCAAATTCCTCCTCCCCGCCTCTCTCCACCAAGCGGTGTAAAGGACCGCGTGTGGTGGGGTAAAGTGTGGGCGGCCCCCACCTCGATCCAAGACGTGTAAAAAAAAAAAACCCCAAATAGCAGTGGTGCGAGCGGGGAATTGCAGGGCCGGCGCCTTTACCCCAACACCCCCCCACCCCCCCCCCCCCGCCCTAGCATCAGGCGTGCCCGGGCACGTCACGCGAGCACCGGTTGCTCAACGTCACCAGCGGAGGTTGCGGGTGTAAGCGTAGGCCAAAGGACTACGATGTCGCGGGGGTGTTCTCTGCAATTCCCTCTGCAGCGGAGGGAGGCTCTTCCGTCGGGCAGTTAGGCGAGCGAGCGAGCTTGCCAGTTGCAGCGCTTGCGCCTCTACGAGCGCGGCGACGCTGGCGCGGTTCGATGGGGAGGACAACGAGTTCAATTAGGAACCCTGCGGGGCTCGGGCAGGGTCTCGACCCGGATTATTTTTGGGCCCTCGTTACGACTAATCTGCTTTGAGGGGTCACCGTTGCGAGCCTAAGCATCTGGAAGTTAAACAGATGAACGCCCAGGGCCAACACCTTACTGTCACTTTTGCTGCGATTCATAATGAACGGGACGCGGGGCGGTGGGGTTGGTGGCGGGGCGGGGGGATGATCAGGGAGAGCGGGGGCGCCGCCGTAACGGTGAATTGACTTCGTGATGAATTTTAACGGCCGAGCGAGAGCAGACTGACGGTGCGGACTTTCGTGCGTTGCGATGACGAGCGGTAACTAGGCGAGAGAACGTTTGAGGGCCGTGGGACGCGCGTCCGTCTGGGATACTCCGCGAGCCCTCGAATGATCCGCGCTGGGCGCGCAGACAAGTTCTGCGAGCGACCCCGTCTCGGAGACAAACGTGTACGTTTGTCCGATTATTTTTTTCTTATTCTTCGAGCCATCATCTTCGCGTCGTCACGAGATGGAAGAATCCGCTCAGAATATTCTTGCGCAGCGCAGCGCGGACCCTGTCGCCGTGTTAGAGAACGGCCGCGCCGGAAGCGGACACCGCAGAGCTACCCCCCGAAAGTCCGTTCGAGTGACCTCTGGTCCAGACAGTAGGGGGCAGCACTTGCCTACCCATCCTGCCACCGGGCGTAATGTTTCTCACGTGACAGCCACATTGAAGCTTTTCATTCTCAAAGCTGGAATGGAGCCAAACTCAGAGCAGAATCAAGTTTAATGTCATTTTTTTAAATGCAGTTATTGGTGACCGGGTTGAAACCATCAACTCAGTAAACTTGAGAACCCAGGTTAAATAACAACTCAGCCTCTGTGAGCTTATGGGTGCATGTGAGTCTACGTGTCTCTATGCGAGTCACTTGGTCTTTTTGCAGGTCATCGGTGATTGGGCAGAGGCCATCAAACTCGCTGCAATGGAGAACCCGGTTTAAACACTGGCAGTGGCTGAAACCCCGGATTCGAACCCAGGCTCGCAGCCAGCTTGGTGTTCACATCTCAGCCACCAGGACAACTGCAATTTTAAAGAACCTTGTTTCACCCTGGCACCTTCAGAATTATTCTTATTAAGATGCTAGGAAACAGGGGGGGTGGGGGGGTCCCGTCTTGTTCCATTACCGTGCCTTTATGCATTGATCATCATCGTGATCGTCGTCGTCATCGATATCATCCTGAGCCATGATCAATCCGCTGCCGAGCCCTCTCCACAAACCGTTTCCATCTCTCACGGTCCTACGATGCAGCAATCAATCCTGCAGCACACAAGCCCCTCCGCGTAAGCCGATTTCATCGCTCCATCTCCACGGTAAATGCCCTCCCCGGTGCGTCACTTCCTTGAGCTGCTATTCCACTCTGGGTCTCAACCGCCGACGACCGCCCCTTCGGGCCACGACGCATCCTTTTTGCTGGGGCCCCACCTAGCGCTCCTCTTGATCGTTCAATTTACCGTCTCGAGCTTGCTACGCGTTCTCCAATCCACGCGTGGCGCCTTCCCGCCTCACGGCGCCGTTGCAAGCACGCACCTCTCCTCTCCGCCTCCTCTCCACGCTTCTCCGCGCGTCCTTTAAACCTTTGCTCCCCTTTCCTTCGCCCTCGGTCCTCGTCTCACGATCCCACACGTCACGGCAGATCAACGCGCGTCCAGAGTGTAAACGCGCACCGTCGTGGTGCCGTTTGATTCTCATCGCCGATTTGCTCGGAACATCATCGTGGGCCACGATCAATCCACTGCTGGGCCCTCTCCCCATTGTTCCTCCCGTGTGCTGAAGGTTCCTGGCGTGGGTTTGCTGCTTTTGCTCTCGGCGGCTTGCACGTCCCCTCGCTCGCCCGTGCGATGTCCCCGTCACCGACGCCACTTCCGACGACGGCTGTCCTTGTTGTCAAGCTGCTCAGCTCAACGGGGCCTACCGGCTGATAAGTCTGGGTCCGAGTTTCCGGTCCGCCTTCAAAAACCACACTGGGTGTAATGACAACAACAAATAACGACAACCGCCGTGCCAGGCTAGGTGCACCTTGAGCCCACGTGAAGTGTCGAAGGCTCAACTGGCAGGACGTCACGGGACAGACCCTGGTCCCATGGGTTTACTGACTCAGATGACTGGCAGGTGCACCACCTGTGCCCTGTGCTGTGCCAACTTGCTGCGTTTTAGTCACCCGGAGCTCCACTTGTTGTCGCGGTATACAAGAAAGACAAAGATCCCCCGTATAGCCTTAACTGACTGTTGGGGCAAGTGCTGTGAGCGAGCACCTATAAAAGGCTGGCACGGCACATGAGGGGGTGGGTGGCCAGCACCATGCCCAGCCGCCTTTGTCTCCCCAGTGCACGATGTTTAACACACCGCACCAGGTACTCATTTGAGGCCGAGTCGAACCAGGAGAGGTCGAAGACCGGTTCAGATAATCGTCACTGGTGTTAGCCGTGAGTGGGAATCGAACTCGTGTCACCGGGTTCGTAGCGCAGAGCGCTAATGGCTACACTACCGGTATATACCGTTTGCGGTATATACACACACACACACGCGCATACGCTCTGCTTTTCCCCAGTTGTGTCCCTACACACGGCTGCCTCTGAACGTTCAGCGGCATCGTTGCACGCGGCTATCCGATTGCTCCAATGTCGTGATTAGCGATCAATGGATGAGAACGCCAGGAAATGAACTTAACGGAGAGGGGTACAGAGTGGGAGGTCAGGATAAACACGCAAGCATTGTTCATCATTACGGTATAATTTGCTGCCGTTCAATATCTCGTGCCCCCGAGCTTACGCTAGAATGTGGGACGTAATAAAAGAATGTAATTACTCTTATCATTATTAGTAGTAGCAGTCGTAGTAATAACCATCACATATTTGTTAGAGCGGCCAGATAAAGGTGGTATGGACAGCCACGGTGGCGAGATGTTAACTCCCTCGCATGATATGCAGGAGAGCTCGCGGGTTTGATCCCGACTCAACCATCTGTATATTTGGAGTTTGCATGTTCTCCCCCGTGGATTTTTTTTTTTATCAGGGTACCTCTGGTTTTTATCCCTCCACATTTAGAATCAACATCACGCATTCAGAGTATTTTGGCAGGACAAACATTTCCACGTGACGAAGAGCCACTTTGTTGAGCTCTCATTTGTGGTAGCCAGGTCGCTTCTGAAAGAGAGCTGCTCTTTAGCTCAGTGGGCTTTGAGAGCTGTTAAAAAAAAAGAGTTTAGTTTTTGTTAGATTAAAGCCACTCGCGCTCGCTGGCCTGGAATGATCGCTGTTTGCCGACCACCAATTGCAGACGATTGTGGACAGCATCGAGCGTGGTCGAGTGGCTCCGCACTCGAGCGGAAGGTCACAAGTTCACATCCTGGATAGGGGGCGGGTGGTTGACACAGCCCATCATCCATCTTTCCCTCCGGAGTTGACATGAAACAAGTACTGCTTTGTGTGGAAATCAAACAATGGTTTTCCGACGGAAAGACTTGACCCCCGCCATAGGAATGTGGAATATCCAGCACCAGTTGAGGGCTGTAAACAGGAGATGTGCGTGCAGCCTCTCCGGTAAACATGGTGATGTTGAAGCAACGTTGGCTTGCACACTGGAAATCAATTTGACTTTACTTTCATTAAAGATGCTAGAGTCACTCACACCCAGGAGTATATATTGGGGCTCAGTCAATCTGGACGATGATAATGAAGATGATGCTTCTGCCACGATGGAGTAATGGTCAGCGCAATCGTGGACCTGCAGGTTCGATTCCATCTCCCTCTGAGGTCGTTCAAGCAACGGGGGGAAGAGGGGGTGGGGCAGGTTCCCCCCAACCTCCTGCCTCTGCCCACTCAGCGGTGTTATTCCCATGATGTTTGACTCGAGTGGAAGAGTAGACCAACATATCCTGTGTAGGGGGGCTCTCCGTGGCTCCCTTTAGTCGAGACCCTTCCGCCAGTAGCGACATGAGCGGGCAGTTGCGGGGCTGCACCTTTACCCCTTTGCCACAGCCGTGTGCGCAACCCCCCCCCCCCCCCCGACCGGTACCCCCCTTTTCCACTGCCACATCCGAGCCGAGCCAGGGCAGTGCTGTCACGGTACGGGCGTGGTTTCACCACTGGCTATTCGCCCTGCAGAGCCAGAAGCAAACGGCGATGCACGCCGGTCTCACAAGGCATCCGAATCCGACTCGGGGAGGGGCCAAAAGGGCCAGGGGACGAGGCCAATCGACGCGTTCGTCACGTGGCGCGTCAGTCGGTGCACCGTTGGGGGAGAAGGGGGGGGGTCACGGTGTTGCCGCGTCGTCTGCGTGCGACATCAGCGGCGCAGATAGCCGCGTTGGTGTCCACTGCACATTTCGACATTTGTTTCCACTTTCCTCTGCCTTGTGCCAATATGCTCAAGTGGTGCACGTTCGTTTCTGGCGGCGATCTCTAATGATGCCGTCGTCAAGCCATCCTCTGTTAGAGGCCTTCCTCTCTCGCCCGTTCCTTCCGCTGTAAACGGCGCGGCTCGGTTGCACGATGAGAAAACAACAACGTCAACAACAGCAGCTGCGCACCGACGCCGGGAGGTCCGGCCCTCCGCCGACGCGACACTCACCCTTGTTTTTGTCTCTCCGGGCCGCGGGCACGTGCTCGGGCGACCACTCACAGTCCAGCACGGGCATGGAGACCGGCCGAGGCTTCCCTGCGCGAGGGGGCCACGGGGACACAGAGGGCCAACGTCACCGTCACCGCCGTCGCCCAGAAGCCCGCCGCTTCCCCGGTGTCAGGGGGCTGGTGGGCGGGGTAGAGAAGTCCCGAGCGCCGGCCACAAGCGAAGCGGCAACACCCGAGGCAGGCGTTGGAAGCGAGACGTCACCCAGCAGGTCGGGGGGCGGGCGAGGCGAAGCGACGCGGGGAAGCAAAAAAAGCGACACCGGGTGCGGAAGCGCCAGCACCGGAAGCAAGTTCGCCGCCCGGGAAAACGATTCGAGTGACGGGCGCCGAGGCGAATCGTCCTCCCGGAGGTGAAAGCGACGGCGTCAAGCGGAGGCCCGTCCAATCCGGCAGTCAAAGCTAAGGAGGGACGCAGTGAGCGAAAGCGTCGCCGGGAAGCAAAGCCACGAGAGAAGCGCCGTGCGGGGTCGACGCGGCGCGGCAGTCGGTGTCCGGAACAGATTTGCATTGAGATTCGGCGGTGGTGGTCGTTTGCTCAACATTACCGTGGGAGCGGGAAAATGTGGTGACCCCGAAATGCATCACCCCCACAGATAGAACACGACGACACCCGGAAGCAGAGCGTCGCCCGGAAGCAAAGCGTTGCCCGGAGGCAGAGCGACGTCTAGAGGCAGAGCATCACCCCAGAAGCAGAGCATCGCCCGGAAGCAGAGCATTGCCCAGAAGCAGAGCATTGCCCGGAAGCAGAGCATCGCCCAGAAGCAGAGAATTGCCTAGAGTCAGAGCATCGCCCAGAAGCAGAGCATCGCCCAGAAGCAGAGCATCGCCCAGAAGCAGAGCATCACCCGGAAGCAGAGCGTCGCCCAGAAGCAGAGCGTTGCCTAGAGTCAGAGCATCGCCCAGAAGCAGAGCATCGCCCAGAAGCAGAGCATCGCCCAGAAGCAGAGCGTCGCCCAGAAGCAGAGCATCACCCGGAAGCAGAGCGTCGCCCAGAAGCAGAGCGTTGCCTAGAGCCAGAGCATCGCCCAGAAGCACAGCGTCGTCCAGAGGCAAAGCATCACCCAGGAAGCGTGTTGTTGTGTGGAAGATGGCGTCTATCAGACCCAAACTGTCACCAGGAAGCAGAGCTTCGTCCCGAATCAGTATCCGTTAGTTCGCTGGGCTAACCGATACCAACAACTGCTGAATTTTGACAATGTGGTACGAGTGTTTTAGACGCAGGAATGGAATACGATTATTATTTCCGAACGTGAATTGGTGACACTACGAGATACAGTGGGTTAAACGGTGATCACAAAAAACGATCGCGATGATTTACGGCCGAGGAAGACCAACATCTCAAGAATTGTTTTCAGGAGGGTGCTGCTACCAGGGGAGATGTTTAGGCCGTGAATTCCGTTGCAGGCGATGAGAGTTTTGGCTTCGTGTGTGGGGAGGAGGGAACCGGGAAACCCCGGAGACAACCCAGCAGCACCGCGCTGCTGCCCCCACGCCTACAACACCTGGTAAACCCTGTAGGCGGTGCTCGTGGTGCTGGTCGCTCATCCAAGTAAAAGCCAGGGTGGCCTCCCCACGCCGTGTGGGTCCCACGAGGGATATTTTTCCATACCTCACCAACATGGTAAGCTGCGAGTGCCGACAACCCCGCTTAGCTTGCGAAATACGATGAGACCGGAGGTGGGGGGGGCGGCGGCCAGTGGTGGTGGTGGCGGTTCGGGGTGGTGAGACGTGGTCACGGCCGGCGGCCGTGCAGCTCGTGGTCAACGAAACCCCCAGCGGTCGCGACCGCTCGATGAAAACAAAAGCGAAAAAAAAAAAACGCAAGCCCACGCGAGCAGGCCAGCACGCCGGCCAAAACGATGATGGGCGGAGGAGAAGGAAGGAAAATAAAAAAAAAACGCCGACGGCCGCGGCGGCGCGAGAATGAAACGCTTGCGCCGCGGAACGTCGCGACACCCGGTTATTGATGGGAGGCGGACGGGAAAAAAGGGTGCGCAGAGGGAGAACGTTTATAATCGCACGCAGGACTTAAAGGATTTGAGAAGTCGCTCTTGACCCCGTGGCCCACGACCTCCTGACCCGGCGAGCAAACCCCGATCAAAGGTCCTATTGTAGCCGCCGCTGCTGCCGAGCGTTATTCACCACGAGCGGCCCCGGCTTGACCCGGCTAGGCGGCGCAGCACGTGCCGCGGCACGTGGGGGATTTTGCCGGAACGGTGCCGACAGGACGGGCGCTTCGACCCGAAAAGGGAATGGCCCAGATCGCTCGACGCCGACAACACCAGCAGCAGCCGAAGCGAAAATAATCAAATGCAATAATTAATTAATAATAATGATGATGATGATGAATAGAATCTAGGAGCTGTCGCGGTTGGTAGGGTAATGGTCAGTGCGTGCTGAAGTTGATGTCACCGGTTGCGATGCAGAGGTCACCGATTCGATTCCAGAAGTTCATGGTGAATTCGACGCAAGATCAGAATCGGGCAACGTGCACCGACTAAAAACTCGCTCCTTTGGGTACAGTGACAAGTTGCTTTTGCGTCGTTAAAATCACGTCTCCAAAAGCGTCCGTCTCTCTGTCTCTCATCCGCCTCTCTCTCTCATCCGCCTCTCTCTCTCGTCCGTCATCGTTTTTGCTACCTCAGCCCACCGTTCAACAGCTGCCCCCCCCCCTCAGCCCCCACCTCCCCTCCCCCAGGTAAAGGGACTCTGCCATATCCCCTCCGACAGAAGCAGCACAACGTCCAATTGCGGGGTGTTACACCTGCGAGATAACCAAACGGAAGCTGCAATGGTTCTTAAGCGCAAACCTATACTTCCAAAGATACCCAAAAGATCGTTAAAGAGCCCGCGCAAGCGGCCACTGCACAAGCGGCCACCGCACATCGGTGCCTCGGCAACAGCGCGCTCATCTGCAGGCCTGGCCAGGCTCGCACACTGGCAACGACCCACCGCGTGAAAACCCACCGAGCCGGAGAAGTGAAATCGCTGCCGCGAGCGTGGCTCTCGTCTCCCCCCTCTCCCCCATCTCCGCGCTTGTTGCCGTCTCTACCGTCGGCCAATTTTGCGATGAAACACTCCGGGGGTTTCGGGAGCTGTCGCCTTGCGGTGCGCACACAGCGCGCCTCCACCGGCTGGGCTCAGGCCGTGATGACGCGTGTCGCCTTCCAATTCCAACCAGGCCACGGCCAACGAAGACGCAAACAAAGTGTCCAATGGTCACGCCGACGCCGTGGCCCGCCGCCACCTTGGATCGTTAAGTTAAAGGCCCGGCCCTGCAATTGCTCCCCTACTCCGCCGCTGCTGGAAGCGTCGCCCCCACTCGCTAAAGGGAGGGCGCGAACGTCCGCCACGGAGATGGATCGATGAAGTGAGCAGCTCGTGCGGCGGCGAAGGTGTTAGGCGCATTGCTACATCGTGGGATCGTGACAGATGGTGGTGGCTGGGGGGGAGGGGGCCTTCATCCAGCAGTGGATTAAGCGTGGCCGACGATGATGACAATGATGATGACGAGGATGAACACGAGCGTTAGTTGACACCAACCCCCGGAACACTCCCGACTATGCGCTCAACTTTCATTCAGTTCGGCTCAAACCTCACATCGATCAACGGGTGCTCAGAAAAGCGTGCCAAACATCGCGCGGTGGCGGTAGCGGCGGCGATGGCGGTGCCACAGGCGATTATTATTATTATTATTTCACCGGCGCTGACTCCGCTTCAAAAGCCCCGCTTAGGGCTAACTGGTTTTTGTTCAATTCATTTTTTTTTACCTTCCCTGCGTTCTTTGGGGCCATTGGATAATCGCACCGTGGGGCCATGGAAAAATCCGAGACCAATACCAATACAATCGCCATTAAGTGACGGTGGTGTCACCACGTCGCCTGTGCCAGGCCAGGTGCACTTTGAGGCCACGTGAAGGCTCGCTGACAGGAGGCCTCGGGACAGACCCAGCATGTGCCATGGGTTGGCTGTCCGAAATGACTGGCAGATGCACCAGCTGTACCCCCTACTGTGCCAACTTGCTGTATTATAGCCGCCCGGCGCTCCGCTCATTGTTGTGAGCGTCGCTCCTCTGCCCCCAGTTGTTGTTGGAGGGCGACTGCCTCCAGCAGCCCAGCAGAATCTTTCGCGAGCCTCCTGCATAGAGGACGCACCATCCATCACAGATGCCAACGTCGGTAAGATATTCTTTTTCCTCTCCTTTTCCTCCTCCCCCTTCGGCGGGTCGAGGCGCTGCGGCCTAGTGATCATGTGGCGCTCGCACGCCCGCTCAGCCGGGATCGAACCGCAACACGTTTTGGCGGAGGATCAATTATCCTAGGCTCGCGATTACATGCGTCAGATCAAAGACGTTTGTGGCAGCTGACTTTAGTAACAGCTCAGGGACAGAAGAATCGCGGAGACACTTTGACCCAACCACCGATTTAAGCTTAAAATAAGATTATTTGGTGGTGATGCTGCTGCAGTATTGGCAGTGGTGAGCACAAGCACAATTAACTACAACAACAACAACACAATTCAACACTATCGTCAAGAACAACGCAGTGGCCTTAAGTAGAAAAAAAAAGTAGAAAAGGCAATATTTTGGGCAATGGGCCGTCGTCAGACCGCACACACGTGAAGACGTGGGTTACTCTCATCCAGGCGGTCTTCGATGGGATCGGTCGGCGATGACACATTCAGTGGGGGACAAATGTGGGACCATGGCACCCGGCACACAATGGCCCACTCTGGAGAACTGTCTGACGGGTTCGGTGTGGGCCCCAATCGCCTGTTATAATAAGATGGAGAATATTTGTCGATGCTGCTGCTGCCGCCGCCGCCGCCGCGATGGTTGGCAGTGGTGCACAAGCACGATGAAGAAAGCAAAAACCCTCAACGCATTCGTCAATGGCACCACCCTGGCCCTTGTTAATAGCGCATCATCTACGCGCCGCGTGCGAGTTGAATTCATGCCCTTTCGCCTTGCGAGCGGAGCGGAGACCTCTCTGCCCGTGACGCCACCCTTCGGCGAGTCGGCTCGCCCGG